GGTTTTTTAGGGATTTAGGGAATTTGTTTTTCGATTAGGGAGTAGAATGTGACTGGAAATAAGTTAAAGCCTTAATTTGGGAATTTAGGGTATATTTGGTTGTATATATAGAATAACCTTTTGGTGTGTATTTGGGAATTTAGGTGTTCGATGGGCCGTTGAGCCGCTCACTTGTTGTGTATTTGGTTTCAATCTGTAGAATTGGCAAATGAAAAGTGTTTGGCTCTTTAACAACAAAAAAATGTGGAAAGAGATTTTGATTGGGTTGTGATTTTTGAGCAATTTTCTGTAATACATATGTCATGATGTGAGAAGATATGACAATCAGAAAAACTGAAGAAATAGTTGAATATAGCTGTTAATGAGCACTGCTATATGGACAGTGTAATGAACTAGACATATAGAGGTTAATCATAACAATAAATTAAATTCAATTATATTTTAAATAATTGCAAGAATAATGCTCCTTAATATTTACACAGTAACCTCTTCAAGTTTGTTTTTGCACTTAACAAAGGTCTAGCTCCCTCTTTGGTTCCAAATTATGTCATGAAATGTATTGTTTTATTACAACTTTAAGGCAAGTGAAAGAGATGTCTAATTCCAAAATACTTAATAGTTGCTTGGCGTATAGGATTATATGGTTTATCACTAACTTTTTTGGAGTGATTTTATGTGGTTGGTGGTCATTGAGTTGCAGGTATTGGCAAGGGACTTGTCAAAGTGATTTTATGTATAGAGTTAGTATTAGCCGACTCAAAATAGAGCCATATGCCACCCTATTTATGTATTCATTTTTGAGTTAATTGGCCTTTTGCTACTAATTTGATATATCGTGAAGAAGTAGTCATCTTTAAATGTAAATTGATGCATTTCTTCATTTTCTTAACTTGAAAACAGATCTTTGTACAAACCTCTTGCCTCTTTGAGGCGCTATTCTTGGAACACGACGAGATGACAACCGCTAACAACGAGGTATGATGTTTTTTTGCTCAAAAATAAGTTTTGTAGTTTACGTGGAAAAACTTCAGTTTTTTGGTTCAAGAAACTAATGAGTTTATGTTGTTTACTCAAGAAAGAGTATTAATTGGTTTCTTGCCAAGAAACTTCAGTTTCTTGGCGTTTCTTGGCAAGAAACCAGTTTCTTGCTGAAGAAAATGGAAGTTAAATATTCTTTCTTGAGTAAACAACATAAAACTCAAACTCACGAAACCAGTTTCTTGACAAGAAACCTTGTCAAGAAACTGGTTTCTTGCCAAGAAACCGTGTTTCTTGTGTTTTAAAAAAAAAAATTAAAATAATATTGATTGTTTCATGATTGTTAGGGGGATTGTTGGAGTTGGAGATGGGGTAAAGCTTGCACTTGGAGCGGCAAAATCAACTGTCAGACAAAGCCTAAAGTAATAGGCTATATTAAGAATCAATTAGGTGCTTGTGGCCGTCTTCGGGAGTTTGAAGAATCTTGTTTTGGACATTTCTTGAGGTTTGATGGGCAAGCATACTACAGTGGGAGACTACTACTTGCCTTATTGGGTCGAGAGGTTTTTCTACGTGACGCTCGAGAGAAGGAGCGTCGGTTTCTAATTAGAGGTAATAATTATAAATTCGGGAAAGTCGAATTTTGCCAAATCAGTGGCTTGATGTTTGGTGGGTCAGAATTTATCCCCGAGGATAATGAGAGTTTACCGGCCATTGATGGGATATATCGACGCCACTATGATGGAAAGAGTGTGATAGGAGGTGATTTGTTGAGGGATTTCACGAACGGTCATTTTCAGAATAATCCCGATGACGCGCTGAAGGCTGCCATGATCTTAATTGTTCACTTTTTCTTATTTGCACCCGACCCGAGGTCCGCTGTGCCACTTTGGCTTTGGACGTTAGTTGAAAATTCGGACATGTTCGGGAAATTTCCATGGGGCACATTTAGCTTTCAGCGTCTATACCATTGTCTCGATGGTATAAGTGCACCAGATGAGGGGTGCGATGTTCAGTTGAACATCCATGGGTTTTTAATGCCTTTTCAGGTACATATACAATTTTATAATTGTGTCATTATTTTTTGTTATTTAGTTTAAAAAGACCATTTACTATTTTTTTTTTCTAAATAGATTTGTGCTTGTGAGATGATGCCCGAGTTTGTACGAGGAAGTGGAATGGTATGTATCGGAAATGGCCTACCGAGGCACTCGGTGGATGTTCCCGAAGAAAAATTTTGTTCAGTTGTCTAACATTGATAAACCCGAGGTAAATATATATGTTCTACATTAAAATTACTATATAATTCTTGTTATGAAATTATTCTTATTCTTATTCTTCTTTCTGTCAATTTTTTTTTTTGGCATTTTCTTAATAGATTCAATGCGTACCAATGTGTTTGACTGATGCCGAGAGGAATGCACCATATATGGCTAATGTTGAATTGGACTTATCACTGGGGTTGCAATATATCCACCACGACTCGTGGAAGAGTTGTTGCGAGCCGCTAGGTGATGCCTCCTCGTCTTCACGTCATACACTTGCCACCAAAAAAAGGAAGCTTGGACAGCCGACGAACATACATTTGAAGAAGTTGGCTGTAGAATCAAATGATGAAGCTGAAGAAGAGACGAAGAGGGATCCGAGAGAGCCTCAAAATAAGCCGAGGGAGCCTCAGAAGGAGCCAGTTGGAATGGACAAAGACCTAATCAAGCAATGGGTGGAGGAAGGCGTTTCAAATTGCATGAAAGAGTTGATGCCTTCGATAGTTGAACAAACTTTACGTCAGGTCGTCCCCATTGCCATTGATCGGGCATTTCATGAGGTTTTTTAAAGATTGGATAATTATGTTATTTCAAGAGCTGGGGATAAAACTAGAGGAGCTGAGAGTCCATCCACTCTATATTTTGGTCATGGGGTAACTTCTTAACTTTTGCATTTCACGTGGCATTTTTGACATTTTTTGTAAGTTAAAACTTTTTCATTCTTTGTAAAATGATGTCAAGCAGTCCTCTCAGGCGGCCTTCTCCACTCGAGGAGAATCAAGCAGTCCTCTCAATCCGGCGGTACCAACTTTTGGTCATGGGGTAAGTTTTTTGACATTTGCACATTTATGAATTTTACCAGAAAATGAAATTTGTTTCTATTTAAACTAATATTTTTGGTTTCGAAAAACTCTTAGGTGGTTGATAACGAGTATGAGAGAGAAGAGAAGGGAAGGAAGAGGAAAAGAAGGATGAGGATGAGAAAGAAGAGAATGAGAACGAGTCAAAGAAAGAAGAGGAGGAGAAAGAAGAGAAGGAGGAAGAGGAAAAGAAGGAT